GCGTGCAGCCGTGCAGCCTCGGGAACCAGAGGTGTTCTTGTGCTCGTCTGAAGCGAGCGAGTCCTGCGGGAGTTCACAGCGATCCTGAAGCCTTGGACCCAGCTGTTGATTTTTAATTGATGCTGCTCAGTTTGGCTTCAAGGCTTTCAGAATGAAATGGACAACAAGAAACAAATTTAAAAGTTCAAAGTGACAATTCCTCGTGGCCTGGACAGCCGCTGCCCACGGCTCCCTGGCACAGCGCTGCAAAGGCCAATTGCTCGTGGCCGGCGCAGCGCAGGCTGCAAAGGCCGGGCTCTGCAGTGCGGGGCTGGGGCTGGCACACGTGTGCCAGCGTGGCCAAAGCCTCTCAGGGCTCTGGGCACAGCAGGGGCCACAAGGCCACGGGTCCGGGGGCTGCTCCGGGCCGCTTCCTGCCCGCTGCGCTGCTGTTGGGCTGCCGGGGGTGGCCCTTTGTGACACGGGCGCGTGGGGTCAGGGCCCTCTGTGATGCGGGACACGGTGGTGGCCAGAGAGCCTTGTGACATCAGGGAGCCCCAGCCTGGCTGAGGGTATCCAAGGGGCGCAGAGCCCTGGGGTGCCCAGTCCCAGGAGAGCCGCTCTCTCAGGAGGAAGCAGCTCCCTGCGTCTCTCTTCATGAGAAGACAGTGGACATTACATCAAATTACACGGAAGATGGACAGAGAGAAAGAGAATCCCAACTCCCAGACCACCCAAGGCCACCTGCTGAGCCTGCGGAGGAGGCCAAGAGAGAGGGATGAGGCAGGAAGGAGAGGCCAGCGGACGGAGAAGGCCAGGATCTTTGCTGTGCCAAGGGAGCCGTCTCCGTCCCACGTGTCCTCATCCTCATCCTCCTCACAGGTGCCCCTCAAGCTGCCACCGGTGGAGGTGAGGCAGCCAAAGGTGGGACCCAAAAACCTGAACAAACCATCGGTCTCACCAATGGAGCTCAGGCAGCCACAGGCAGCACCACAGGGCAGCCAGAGCCGGGCCCTGTCCCTCTGTGGGGACAGGCTGCCACGGCTGCCACGGCTGCCACAGCAGCCACAGTTGCCAAAGCTGCCACCACTGCCACAGCTGCCATGGCTGCCACAGCTGTCACCGCTGCCACAGCTGCCACCACTGTCACCGCTGCCAAGACTGCCACAGCTGCCACCACTGCCACCACTGCCCTGCCTGGTGAGTCCCAGGCACACTCACAGCCAGGGCACAGAGCTGGGGAGCGCAGGAGAGAAGGGGCCCCAGCCCTGCAGCCCCTGTCCTGGGCAGCCACACACCCCCGTGCCCAGGGTGCTCTTGCCCCCGCTCAGGGTGGCCCAGGAGGGCACAGCCCTTGTGTCCCCAAGCTGGCAGCTGCAGCCTCTGCCACCCATCCCCTCGGGGGCTCGAGCCGTGGAGCGCAGCCTCATGGGCACAGCTCCAGGAAAATGGGATAACAGTGAGCTGTCCCGAGGGGAAAGTGACAGTGACCAGGAGCTGTCCCCAGTAGAAGAGGCCACTGAGCTCTCTCCAGGGGGCAGCAAGAGTGAGCCAGGGGTGTCCTCAGTGGAAGAGGCCATCAACATGATTCCAGGGGACAGCACGAGTGACCAGGAACTGTCCTCAGTGCAAGAGGCCATCGTGGCTGTTTCAGGGGACAGCCCAACAGATGAGGAGCTGTCCTCAGTGGAAGAGGACATCGAGGGCATTGCAGAGGACAACACAAGTGACGAGAAGCTGTCCCCAGTGGAAGAGGCCTCTGAGGTCATTTCAGGGTACAGCCCGACTGATGAGAAGCTGTCCTCAGTGGAAGAGGCCATCGAGGTCGCTCCTGAGGACAGCACAAGTGACGTCGGGCTGTACCCAATGGAAAATGACAAGGAGCACTCCCGAGGGGACAGCAAGAGTGACAAGGAGCTGTCCCCAGGTGAAAAGGAGTGTGAAAAAGAGCTGTCCCAATGGCTAGAACATGAAGCTGGAGAGCTCTCCCAATGGGAAGAACAAGAGGATGAAGAGCTCTGCCATTGGGAAGATGAGGATGAAGCACTCTCCCATAGGGAAGAATGTGAGGTTGAAGAGCTGAGAAGGATGACCCTGCTTGGTGGTATGGAAGAAGATTCAAGCTCATCACCTGAACTGCCCAAAGTGGAAGAGATATCAAGACATCAGAAGGTTGTGGAATGGCTGGAAGCCAATTTCCCCAATGATTATGGTGATGAGAAGGAAGAGAAGGAAGAGAAGGAAACTGAACTGAATCAAAGAATGCAATGGTGCAAGCAGAAGGTGGAGGCCCAATGGCGAGAGCTGTTGGACTCCTTGTCACTTCTCAGTGACGACGTGCATTCCAAAGGGGAGCAGTGCAAAGTCCAAGACATGTCCCA